TGACTACTTTCTGTTCAGGTTTAACAGCGATGTGTGTGAAAATCAACCCACTTTTGCACGTTTTCTCCAGCTTTTAAATCCTATTTCTGCACAGGATTTCCCCTGTGTGATAAAGTCCTTAGAAGCATAGGGCTTTATCAGATGGAGGAAATGGGGGATTAAATAGGCATTATCCAGGGAAAATTGCACAAACACAGCTAAGATTGTCACACAATGTTGTGATTAGAGAGGACTAACCAGGGAATAACCAGTAACAAATCATTCACGTGTGATAAAGTCCATAGAATCCTAGAGTTGGAAGAGATCCCCAAGGGCCATCCAGTCCAACCCTATTATGCCATGCAGGAACTCTCAATCAAAGCATCCCTAACAGATGGCCATCCAGCCTCTGTTTAAAGGACTTCAAAGAAGGAGACCAAGGAAGGAGTGTGTTCCATTGTCGAACAGCTCTTACTGTCATTCTTACTGTTTAAAGAAGGAGACTCCATCACTCTCCAAGGCAATATATTCCACTGTCGAAGAGCTCTTGCTGTCATAAAGTTCCTCCTAATGTTGAGGTGGAATCTCTTTTATTGTAGCTTCCTCCCATTGCTCTGTGTTCTATTGTCTGGAGCTGCAGAAAACAAGCTTTCTCCATCCTCAACATGACATCCTTCCAATACTGAAACAGGGCTATCATATCACCTCTTAACCCTTCATCCCAGAATATTTTCTGTCAGCTCCCAGTATGATCAGAAACTTTTCCCATGTTGGTTTGTTTTAACATGTCAGTATAAAACATGGAGAGCCATGTGGTGTAGTGGTTTGAGCATTGGACTATGACTCTAAAGATCAGGGTTCGATTCCCGCTTCGGCATGAAAACCCACTGGGTGGCCTTGTGCATGTCAAATACTCTCAGCCTCAGAGGATGGCAATTGCAACCCCCCTTTGAAAAACCATTTGTAGGTTTACCTATAATATAATTTGCCAAAAAGAAATGACTTGGAGACACACAACAAAAACAATAAAAACAGTCTGGAATGCATAGCTTAGTGAGAAAGTACCTTAGCTTTGCAAACTTTCTGGAAACTATAGAGTGTAGAAACATTCATGGGTAAAAATAAACCCATTAGTCCCAGGAACAAAATCGGGGACTTTTCAATCGGTCTGGATGCACCCTTATTATACCAGTAAGCCCCAGTCCGTCTCTGTTCCAGTGAAGAACAAGATATTCTGGAATGTAACCTTCACTTACTAGCTTTGCAGTCTGTGGTGGAATTCCCTCTCAGTCATGACAAATATTATTATGTTGAAATTTCTAGCACCTTAAGGGGAGAAAACCCCAACAAAGCCAAGGACTTTATCACATGAGCCTCATTCTTGCCACAATCCTGCAAATCAATGACAACACAAACATGCCTATTTAAGAATAGTCATGATCGCACATCTACGCATTTGTGTGACTCCAGACTCCCACTTAACCCAGACTCCCTGCCCTATGCCTTACCCAGCACGCATTACATTTCATTCTATTTTTTTGCATTTTTAAATTCAATCCCGCAGTTCAGGTAATGCAATTTTTTTTTAAGAAATGAAGTACCAGCAAAAAGGGAAATCAGGCTGCTGGGAAATAGCAAGGGGGAGAGAAAGACAGTACATGACAGCTAATCTTGCAACTGTCGCAATAGCAACATTTCACACTTGAGGAGTCCTGAGACTGCCATGCAATGGGGAGCTATTGATGGGTTTCCCCTGTCAATGAAAAGGGACACCTTACCCACACTTGGCAAAAACAGCAGCAATGGGTCAGAGGCAACATCGTGTGATACGTATTGCCAAAAAGGCTGTTTTGTTACTATAATCATGATCTAAAAGCCATGTGTAGTAATCTCCTTGCACAAGTGCTCCTTTGCCCACAGGGGACAGATAGGACCATACAGGAGTACCATGCTGACCAGACTACAGATGAGTATGATTACTGTGAAACAGGATGCAGGAGTTGTTCTAGGGCCATGGAAGTGTTTAATCTCCACATTAGAGGTCTATTTGAGCACAAACAGATTTATTTATTTTATTTTTTGACACCCTGTAAGACCTCTTACAATCTAAGCTATGCAGATGACACCAAAATACTAGCAAAAAACCTCACAGACCTGGAGCACCTACTAAGGAAGATCCAAGAGGAAAGTGCAAAGGTAGGCTTAATGATGAATATCAAGAAAACAAAAATAATGACCACCGAGGAGGACCTTCACA